TAGAGTACGTGTTCAGGCTAATGTACAGAATGGAGATTGACCTTGCCTCTGAAGGGAACTAATAACTGAGGCCTTGTCTATTTAAAATGCTTTCCTGAGCCTGACTAGCGTTTAGTCAAGCAGTTTCTAGGTAGGCAAAATCAGTTTGGTCCTTACACTGGATCCCCAAAATTCTACTGGCAGGAAGGAAGATGAGAAAACTACTCAGTTGCAAAAACATTCTAGCTTTCATAAAAAAATGAAGACTCAGGGGGCAAAACCAAGAGCCCAGATAATGGAGTGAAAAACCATGAGAATGATTTCCATACTTTGAGAGTTATTAGAGAACTGCTAACATTTTCTGGATTCAGAACAGTTGTGATCAATGACTCCTTGCCTCCCATTTTCCCCTTTTTGAACAGAAATGTGTATGTTGTTGTCACTGAGTCAGTTCCAACTCATAGCAATCCTATACAGGGCTTCCGAGGGGTGGCTGGTGAATCTGAATCACTGACCTTGCGGTTTAAACCAACCTGCAGTCCAGTGTTTATCCTACAGTGCCATACCAGGACTCCACATCTTTGTAGAAACGGAAAGCCTCATCTTTTTCCCTCAGAGCAGCTGGTGGACTCAAACCACTCACTGACTTTGTGATTTACAGTCCAATGCTTAGCCTATGGAGTCACCATGCTCAAAGCGTGAAATGTGTATAATGGTTAGCTTATACTTAACCCCACTGTTGTATGCTGGGTATGCATAGAGCAGATAACTTGTTTCTTTCGTTTCCAGGTCCACAGATGGAAGGTACTATACTTGAAAAGAGCTGTGCTAAGGAAACTACAGATGGGAAGCCTTATCCACAATTAGGTGATTTATACAACAAAATTCTCAACTGTGAGCTGATGCTGTAATGAGCTGAGACTTTGGTTTTGGAAGGAAGGATGTGAATCATTTGGGAGCCAAAGAGTAGACTGTAACAGGTTCCCCAATGTTCCCCCTGTCTCCTAGCATTCACATCATTATGCAATCTCTTCCTCTGAAGTGTGGGCTAGGTTTAGTGAAAAGAATGCAGCATGGGAGATGGGATGTTAATTCTGAGACTAAGCTACAAAAAGACTGGCTTCTCCTTAGGCATGTGGTCTCACTTAATCTGAGGGAAGCTAGCCACTATGTTCTGAGATATCCTATGGGAAGGCTCATTTGGCAAAGAACTACGGAAGGCCTCCAGCAACAGCCAGCAAGGAACTAAGGCCCTCAGTCCAATAATCTAAATGGAACTAATCCTAGCAATAATCACATAAGTGAGCTTAAAATTCCTCTCTCAGTTGAATCCAAATTAAGATCTGATAGACCTAGCTTGACTGAAACCTCATGAGACCTTGAGCCAGAGGGCTCAGCTAAATTGTGCCAGGATTCCTGACACACAGGAATGATGATATATTTGTTATTTTAAGCCACTAAATTGGGGGTAACATATTTGATACAATAGACACACCCACATACCAATTCACAGCTGTCTAGTCAATTCTCATACTGGCCTTTTGAGACAGAGTAGAACTGTCCCATAGTTTCTGAGAATGTAAATCTTTATGGAAGCAAACTACTCTTTTCTTCCACAAAGCAGACTGCTGCATTTGAATCACTGACTTCTCAGTTAGCAACTGAATACTTAACTGCATCACCAAGACTCCTTTCTCATACACGAGGTAACAAATTAAGTCATTATCTTTACAGTGGACAACTCTAGGAATATTGATAATTCATTGTCTTTACTGTCCAGAAACCTTTTTCCAGGCTTAAATCACAGGCTAAGAATTCTTATTCAACTCACCAAAGAATGTTGAATTAGTTAGGCTATTTTTATTGAACATCAAAAAAATCTGCACACAAAGGCTTTCCTCCATCCCCTAAAGATGTAGAGATGTTGACACACCTTTCTAGTTAACATTACTTAAGAAGGTGAACCTGTACAAATCTGTTGTTGTTGTTAAGTGCCAATGAGTTGGTTCAGACCCATAGTGACCCTGAACAGGGTTTCTGAGGCAGTAAATCTTTATGGAAGCAGAAAGCCTCATCTTCCTCCCTTGGAGCAGCTGGTAGTTTCAAACTGGTGACCATGCAGTTCGCAGCCTGATTTGTAACCACTATGCTACCAGAGCATCTTAGTGAAGAGTAAAAAACAAACAATGATGCCTGGGAAACATAGAATTTTAAGAGTATCTTCCTGGAGAATATGCATCTGGAGAAAGAGGCCATGGAACTAACCTTGTAGTTAGCATTTGCAAATCTTCTTCAACTATGGGTTTTGTGAAGCTGAGGTCAGAAATAAGTGAGTCTTCATTGATTTCCTCCAGAGGTGGAGTCTGTGGTAAAACATCAGGGCGACCAAGGTGGACACCTGAAGAGGAAAAAAAAAAAAGGCAGAGGAGAGAAAATCAATATATAGAAAAGAGAAGAAAACAGAGAGAATACAGGGAGGAAAAAATATGTAAAAACTTGGCTTTTCCTGGATAGAAATGGGGAACAGAGATCCTAGTCAGCTAATTAAGAGCTCAGAAAAGAAGGAAGGGAGGGGGTACCAATTACATGGGGACCCCAGCCCTGACGCTGACCTGGCTCCACTTCTGCCTTTGTGGTCACTTGTGCCTTGTGTTCCCCAGATACTGTAGGCTGGCAGTAGGAGTTGCCGCTGGAGCCTGCTCGCCGAGAGAAAGATGCACCAGACCGAAACTTTTTGGAAGGAGAGGGCTTCACTTCAAAAGGGAAAGAGAAAGCCTACTTAGCACCCACCTAAGAAACCATCACCAAGACATAGATACAAATTGCCAGTGTCCCAAACCCAAACCCAAAGTGGTCCTGTAAAGTGGTAAGCAGAGTTAATGGCAACAAAGATGGGCTTTATGAACTACTTTCCCCAGATGGTTATCTCATTCACTTCACTTTAGAAAGCAGAAAACCTAAAGGAATGAGCCACATACATATCTCCCTACTCATACCTATAACCTTAATGGATTTGTACTGATAAAATGTCCTCTATTCCATAATTCCCTTCTTTAACAATATCCTCCAATAAAATCTGATAAAAACAACCCTTTTATTTTACATCTTCTTAGTATTTATGTATACAGTACTGTGATAATTTATACTTGCTTATATACCACTCTGAAAAGACTTTAAAAATTTTTTTTCCATGTTTCTTAAGTCTGTTTGGTATGCCTAGTTATTCTTGTCTTACTGAGGGACAACTGATGTCTATGATGAGAATATAGCAAAGAGGAGTTGGAATGTGCCAGTGACAGCAGCATGGACGCTGTGGTGCTTCCCAACCTAGACACTCGAGAGAAGCAGAAATCAGTAAATGCTTCTCCAGTCACTTGATTCTAGTCTGACAACACTTCAGCTCTATGCATATGGATGGAAATAGAAAACTGAAAATATCCTTGCTCACCTCTGTCCATAAAAGTTTGGTTCTGACCACCTCAGCTGGTGGAATGGATCCTATACCCACAACTACACATTTTTTTGCAATCCCACCAGTTACCCAGAAATGCCCCTCACCTCAATGACACATGTAGGGAGAAGAGCCAGGGGGAAAGCAGCAACTTGGAAACGACTGGGACAGACAAAGTGACTGACACAAGGACGGGCAGCAGCGCTCACAGGATGTGGGTGAAGGAAAGGACTTTGGCCTTGGCAGCTCTCTGACAGAGATGTCCTGTCCCCCATCTCTTGGGGTAAGGGAGCCATTGAGGGGTCAACTGGTAGAAGCCACTTACAGGGGATCTTCTTGAATACTGTGTTGCACATGAAGCGCTGGAACCGTTCAGCATAGAAGCCTGGGCGATGCACTGATACGGTATCCTGCAGAGGGGATGGTTGTAGAATTAGAGGGGAAAGCCCAAGCAAGGGGGCCTTTAGTCCAAGGGCCATTTTCCTCTAGACTGAGACCTTAGAAGAAGGGTAGAACCCACAAATCAAAGGAGATAAGGAATAAATGAAAGAAGTTGAAAGGACAAATCATGAGTAAGGGAGGCAGAAGTGGGAACAGAGCCTCCAGCTGACTGCTATGCTACTTACGCCATCATGTACCAGAGCTTTCCAAGAATGCTCCAACTTCTTAATAAACCTGCCAAGAAAAGGTTGTATTACGCATTCACATCGTTTTTGAATGAATAACCTTAATTATTTTTCTATTTTAAGGGATTAAATGAGTAATGATCATAGAAAAACTTGAAAAATCAGAAGCTGAAAAAGTAAGTCCACTATGATATGCTGGCTTTCCAAACAGCTATGATAGTGTTTGTTCAGCATGGAGACCAATGTTGTTTTTAGGTACGTTAATTACCACCACATAGGTAAAGGCAAGTCAAGGACAAGAATGTTTACTATAAAAAGAGAGGCAAACAGATGGACAAGCAAGCCTGCAAAAGGGAATTAAAATTGGATCAATACTCTGGGATCAGTAAATACTGCCCAGTTCTCCTTAGAACCAGACACCTTACAGGAACAGAACTGAGATCTAACACTTCCAGCTCCTCCCTCATTACCACTTCACTGCCTCTTCATTTCACAGGCTAGTATGCTTTACAGGACACAGTGACCCTCTTGTTTTTCCTCTGTGGAAAAGAGACCATGTTTCCATCTATGTCTGAATGTGGAGTATGACTCATCTCGAAGGTTTTTTTTACAGAAGAAGAGTCAGACAGATGGTGTATTCTACCCGGGTGATTCTGGGGACTGACTCAGCTTTCCACATAAGATTTATGTCATGTTTGGGGAGGTGGTAGAGTGAGGAAGCCGAACAGAGCAAAAACAAAGAAATAAGATACCATTTGAAAACTCATGAGGTAAGCAACAATTCATTATTGCTTCAGGAAGAACTTGGTGACAAACCAATGTAAAAAAGTCACCGGAAAGGCTATCTGCATCCTGCCTGCCCCAATCTGAGATGCATAAGCTCCTCACCTGTAAGACTGCAAAATGTCAATGATGCCAATATAAAGCAGCAACCTTTCCCCTTTACTATTCCGGGCAGGGATGCCACCCATGCTGGAGAAAACAAGAAGGAAATGTAAGAAAACATTTGGCTAGCAGGTAGAAGCTTCTTTTAACCTTCAGTCAAATCAAGACATGGAACAGAGATGCAAACATAACTGTTACCATTTTCTGTAAACTGACGAAAAGTAGGATCCTCTCCCACCATTCCTCTCTGAACCCAAAGAGCCACCCCAGAACATGTATTATAACCTCTTTCTCTCTACATCACACCTATGTGCCTCTTCTACCCCAACTCTACAAAAAGGAATCCAAAATCACTGCTGCACAGTAATTTTGAGAATCCTCTCTCAATTAATTCAGTACTTTCATATCTTGGACTTCTCAAGAATCATACCATGGAATACTTTAACAATGAAACCACCTAAAAGACATCTGTGATACACTTCCTTGATGGTCCTTCCAAAAACAAGTCTGTAAATAAATTGTTCTTAATAAAGTTCTAATGTAATTTGTTGTTGTTGTTAAGCACTGACTGTCAAGTCAGTTCCGACCCATAGCGACCCTGTATCGGGGTCCAAGGAAGAGCTGGTGAGCTTGAACCACTGATCTTGCAGTTCAAATGACTTTGCAGTCTGACGCATTAGCCCACAGCGTCACACCAGGACTCCTAATGTAATTTACAGACATGTATACATGACTCTGAATATAATTTCATTTGTCTCTTCTTCTTGGACAGTTCTCCTCAGATGTACTTGTTGTTAGGTGCTGTCAAGTTGGTTCTGACTCCATAGCAACCCTGTACAGGATTTCCAAAGCTGTGAATCTTTTGAGAGCAAAGCCTCATCTTTATTCTATGGAGCAGAAGGTACAAACTGCCTCAGATATACTGCAAGCCCTGAATTTAAGACCTCTTCCTCTTCTTTTGTATAGCTAAGAAAGCTGATTCTCCAGTTATGTAAACATTAATACTGTTGACATTATCTGCTGAGTCAGGGTTACTGCTTTCATCCAGAAGCTGGGCCCCTTCCTTAAGAAAAACTGCTGTGAACCTATGCTCTCCTTTCTGATGTCTTTGAATCCACTTACTGGTCATCAGTTTCCACCGTGCCACCCCGTCGAGCCTCGCCCTGAATGGATTCCATGGCTGTGGAATAGAGAGCCTTTTGGGGGGCTGGTCTTCGAGTGTCAACTGAGTATTGCGTTTCACTGTTTAAGGGTTCTCGCTGTGCATGATCAATGTTGTGGACGGATACCAAAAGGCTATAGTCCATTATCTTGAAGCTCTGCAGCACCTACAGAAGGAGAAATCATTATTAGAGACTTGGGAGGTTTGAGATATTTTTCAAGAACTCACAGCTTTCATGTAACAATTGTTCTTCATAGTAAGTCTCTAGTGCTAACTACAGGATTATCCTTTATTCCTCCTAGTCCTTGGATTAGTTAATTAACCTCCCCTAGTCACTCTTTGAGTCCTGTTGTGGCGCTGTGGGTTAGTGCGCTGAACTATAAGGTCAATCAGAACTTCAAGGTTGGCATTTCAAGCTCAACAGTCACTCCTCAGAAACCCTATAAAGGGCTGCTATGAGTTGGAATCGACTCAACATCACTTAACAACAATAGTCAATCTTTGGTGTGGTGCTGTAGGATAAGCACTGGACTGCTAATTACCAGTTCAAACCCACCAGCTGTTCCTCAGAAACTCTATACAGGGTTGCTATGAGTCAGAACTGACGCAACAGTATTTAATAACAGTCATTTTAAAAATTTACATCCCTGCAGTCTCTCATTTGAGTAAATACAAGTTATTTTTTTCAAGTCTCTTAGTCTGCCCCACAATTCTTGCTTTATTTGTTCTATGTATATCTTCACAAAAATAATATTATATTCTCAGGAAAAAAAGGAATATGTATTTGTGCTATAAAGAATCTACAAGGAGGGTCTAGTAAAAAACACTTCATGTCAGAGCAGACCTGTTGCAGAATCTTGTATTACCAGCTCCAATTCAGTTGATCATTTATTTAATTCCCATCATGCTTAAAAGCACTGTGTCTGGTTATGGGAATTCAAAAGATATGTAAGAGAGTGTTTATATTCTCAAAGGTATTGTAATTCAGGATGGAAACAAATGTAAAATAAATACAATATAGTCTAATATATGCAATAATGGACATAATTACTAATAGAAGGGTACTACAGAAGAGATCATTGTTCAGTGTCTTCAACTTGGTTCTGACCCATAGAAACCTGTATAGGGTTCTAAGGAGTGCTGTTAAGCTTGAGCCATCAACCTTTCTGTTCAAATGACTTTGAGGACCAGCACATTAACCCACAGCACCACACACCAGGACTCTAGAAGTGATATATAAACAAGTTTATAAGGGATAAACTGGAACACAAAGAAGTCTAAGTAAATAAAGGAAAGACTATTGCCAAGGCCTGAAGGCATTTGATACAGAGTCAGAACTGTATCCTGAAGTTCTCAACCCTTGTCCCACTCTGAAACAAAGAAAAAGTGTACACGCCCATAGTGCCAGTAACTCAACTAAAGGTGTTTTGGTAGGAAGGAGAAGAGAAAGATGAAGAGAGCATAGGATTAATTTCTTTGTGCAGTCTGGTTTAGTTATGTCTTTAATGTTTATAACCAAAGGACTCAACTAAAATAGACATTATCACCCTGGAAGCAGATAGAGTGAACAAAGAAGGACAAGGATGGGCAACATTAAGAAATGAGAAGAAAATCATTCTGCCACAGCACCCTGAGAAAGAATTACCAGAGACCAAAAAAATCGGTAGTGGAAGGCGTCACAAAAGCCAAGGGAGGTATTGTTAAGAAGACTGTCAAACACTATAAATGTCAAGATTTCGACATCTAGGTGGCTATGTTGTTGTTATTAAGTGCTGTCAAGTCGGTTCCAATTCATAGCAACCCTTTATAAGATTTCTGAGAAGCAGGTGGTGGGTTTGAATTATCAAACTGACCTTGCTATCTAGTGCTTATCCTGCAGCACCACACCAGGATTCCAAGGTGGTCAGAGGGTAGTGGTTTTCACTGAAGTGTTAAAACCAAAAGTCATAACACAGTGGGTCGAGGCAGGAAGAAGAGATGAGAAAGTAAAAGGAGAGATGGAACCATCAGTAGATGAAGATGTCAGAGGGTGGGGTGAAGAACGGATCTCTCCTAATCTAACCCTAATATAGAACAGATAAACTTCTTTTACATAGGAAAAAAGAGCCAGCAGAGACTGAAGCTAGAAGAGGGAAAGGAAGTAAGTAACAGAAGCACAGGAAGAAATGGTTTCAGAGCATAAAAGGGGTTGAGCTTGAATACCCCCAAGTTGGAAAGAAAGGCGGTTAAGGATGGCTTTAAACTGTTGTTGTTGTTAAGCACCACTGAGTCTCTTTCAACTCAGAGCAATCTTGTATAGGGTTTCCAAGGCTTTAAATCTTCACAGGAGCACAAAGCCTCATCTTTCTCCCTCGGAGTGGCTGGTGGGCTCGAACTGCAGACCTGTGGTTCACAGTCCAGTGTTTATCGCACGGAGCTGCTGCGTTCCTGGTTTGTGTTTTTCAAAATGTTTTATTGTGAGTTATGTGATAGTTTACATGGGAGAACATTAGCTTTACATTCATTCTACTGTATATCGTTTCAATCCCCTCTAAGCATCATCAACCTACCAAAGGTTATACCCTGCAAGCCTGCTCCCTCTGGTCTTTAGCACACAGCCCCTCTCCCTCTCTGAGGCTAGAGTCCCCAGACACTCCATCTCTCCACATCATTGTCTCTGCCTCCATCTCTGGCATCACTGTTTTTCTGGGTAGGGCCCGGCACTCCACTCTTCTCCCTTGATGGTCCCAGGGACCTCCACCCGCGGACTGCAAAGTCAACCACGCTCCTCTTTTTGCTATAAAACGTCTACCTTTACATTTCCAACCCTCACAGTCAGCCTGATAGTAATTATTCACTATTGTACCACATATGTGCTAGCCCCATCTCCTTTCATCAGTCCTGCCCAGACAGACTGGATACTACTCAGTGGAGTAGTATTTTCCGTGTCCTCTGGATACCTTCCTGGTTTACGTGTAGATATAGTCATTGGCAATGGGAGTGGTATAAAGGGATGAGATACGATAGAAAGTTTAGGTTGTTTTCTGAGAAACAACATGGGGGAGGGATGGGGGTTGATAGTGGGTTGAAGAGTGTCAAACATCTGAAATTGCTGTTGAGAAAAATAAGAAATAGATGGGTGAGCAATACAGAGGGCCCTGATAGAGCTGGAAAACATATATCCACAGAAACTCTAGATCAGTCTTCAGCATTCAGTTCCCAAGATAAGGTTTGGAGAAGGCAGGCAGGACCAAAATCTGAGAAGTGTTGTTGTTAATATGAAAATAAATAGAATGTGACCCAACTTAATTAGGACAGAAGATAAAGCTAGGTGAGGATGATAAACATGGAGAAAGTAAAAAGATAAAGGTATGACAATTAACAAATGTTAAGTTCTTTTAAATAGAAAAGTACATATCATCTGGGCTTAAGAACAGAGTTCTATTACTACAGATTCTGCCTAAGAACAACCAGGCTGTTTTAGTGACTAAGATTTTTGATGTCTGAGAAAAGAAAATATGACAAACTCACCAAACAATCACGCTGCAGGGTCTTACAAAGAGCATTGTACATATCAGCATCCAGAAAAAGACCATCCGGGATATCTTGTAAGAAGTCCAGGTCTTTAAGAGTAGGAAGAGGCTTCTCTCGCTCTTTTTGGGAAGCCCGCCGTTTGTAGGTTGAGCCCTTAAGGTCATATTTGACATGCATCTTGACTGATCGTGGTAAAAGATTGTTCATCACCACAATGCGAATGTTCTTACCACCTGCCTGTACACAATATAGTCCATAGAACTTAGGCAGCAAAGTCCGAGGGTTCTGGTTGAGGTTCTGAGGGCAGAAAAATAAAAAGAGCAGTGAAACTCAAGAACGTAAGTTGCCATCTATCCTCTTTGTCTTCTACACAGGATTCAGGCACCACCTGTTTGAAATTCAGGCACTGTTGGTCCTGCCTACCTTCTCCAAATGGAGCTCTGGTAGTGTAGTGGTTACTAACTGGGCTGCTAACTTCAACGTCAGCAGTTCCTCGGGAGAAAGATGAGGCTTTCTGCTCCCATAAAGATGTATAACTTCGGAAACCCTGTGCAGGGTCACTATGAGTTGGAACCGACTCCACCATACTTAACAACAACAACCTTCTCCAAACGCCATGTTTGTTTATAATTTTCCAGTGTATCTATCTCAATGATGTTATCACCCCCAAGCTGAGCTACAGGAACTAATCAGGATACTGAAATGTATGACAGATCTATTTCTTCAACAAAATCCTTTACACTGGATATAGTATCACATCTCCTCTAGAACTTCCAAGAATACATATAAGTCAGAGTGAGATTGAATACCATACTATTAAAGGTAATAACCCATCTTTTCCACTACATAGAAGTAAAAAACAGAAAAGAAAAACATCACTGAATCGTCCCTTTGGGCAAAATGTCTATGCCAAATAACACTTAGAACTGACAAACAAAACCCTTGTAGCCATTGAAAGATAAGAGATACGATGCAAAAAGCACAAAAAATAAACTATACTCTCAAGACTGAAGCACTGACATTGCTTTTTCCCACTGAAGACAGAGCTCCCCCAGCCTTGTGGACAGCACTGACAGCCAGGCCAGTCTCTTCTCCCCCTCACCATGTAGTATCCTGGAAGTAGCTTCTGCAGAAACTCCGCTTCTTTATGTTGGACTGTCTTAATGATGAATTCATCGTCACTGGACACATAGAAAAGGGAACCACTAGCCCCAGAGCTGCAGAGTTCAATCAGTGGCTCACTGCAAAGGGAGTACTAGGACCCAGAGAGAAGACAGTACAAGGTTCAGAGATACTAGAAATGCACAATTATGTTCTACAGAAAAACTAGAGCAAGACTGGGGACGAGTAGCTATGTATCTTCCTTTGGGAGCATCCCTCTGATATTGGCATCACAGAGTACTGAAATCTAGACGCTTACCAAGTAATCATCAGGCCGGATGCCAAATAACTCACGAAAGTAGCGGAATGCAACGGGTGCATATGTCTTGAAACGAAAGTCATTGTAATGATGAGCAGGGGTCAGGTTGCTCCCTTCACTGTGGGATAAAATAAAGAGAAGTCACAATTTACCAGTTTTGTTATCCAGGGAGTCCACCATTTAGAGTCACAGGCCATTACATCCCTCCTTCAAGAACCAGTGGGATGACATCAGTCAGTTACTTAAATGAGACAAAGGCACAGCGTGGAAATTAAGTCATGGACACATGAAAGATTCATTTTACCTCCTACCTGATGCATGGCTCATTCCACAGGCCAGAGGCTCATGGAAGGATCTAGGAGAGCATCTGTTCTCCAAACTCTCCAAACCCACTTCACCCCGATTTACCTACCTGAATTAAAATCAGGTTAAGGACTGGGTGGGCCGGTGACTAAATTAGCCAGGCCTAAGCCCCTAAGGCGCTGTGAGTTAATACGTCAGACTGCAAAGCCATTTGAACTGCAAGGTCAGTGGTTCAAACTCACCAGCAACTACTTAGAAACCCTATACAGGGTCGCTATGGGTCGGAACCAACTCAACGGCACTTAACAACAACAACAAAGCCCCTAAAGGAGTACTGGTGTGGTGCTGTGGGTTAAGCACTAGACTGCAAAGTCGGTTTGAACTGCAAAGTTGGTGGTTCAAGCTGACCAATCGCTCCTTGGAAACCGTCTAGAGGGACGCTATGGTTCGGAACCAACTTGACAGCACTTAACAACAACAAGCCCCTAAAATTACCGTGGGGTTTATAAGAAAAAGCCACATTTTCCAGGATATTCCCCTGAATATTAACCTCTGTACCTGGGGAAGAAGATACTCTCCACCACGTAGAAATCTTGCATGAGGACATCCCGCTCTGGTTTGGTACTCAGACTTCCTACAGTGTGAGTGATGCCTAACTGGATGGCACCTTTCAATGCTGATGAGGTTGTCTGAAAAACAGAAATGAGAAGTAAGTTTCTAGTATTAAGCCTAACCATAGTAACAAATACTCAGAGGGAATATCTGAAGGCAAATGCCCTTCCAGTAATTTAGAATAACTAAACTGGGGCAATCCAGTTTCCTCCTTGCAGTGTATGGTGAAGATACATAATAACAAAGATGAAACAATGTGTGACAGCCTCAGCTAGGCAAGGTGTCCCCTCCTATCAGCCTGCTTAAACATCTATATTTGGAAGATAAATTCTATCAAGAAAATAAGCTTAGGTTTTACTCCTAATGTTTCTGCCCCAGGATATCTGAGGTCTTTTAAACATTTTATTCATTTGACATAGAATACACTAACATTAACCAATATTCGGACTGACTACCTGGCTACAGAGGCTTCAGTTCTCTAAGGCAAGGCATGAAGGCATGATTAGTGTCCCAAGGATAACGGAGTGGCATAATGAGGAAGAAAAGCATGAAAGAGTCAAATTATTGCCGAAAAGGAAATATTTACATTTAGAATTAGCATACAAGAGTCCCACTCTTCCGACCCATGGTACCATATCAAAAAGACTAAAAATGTACTTCCTCCATCTTCCAAGGCATTTCAAGTGGCTAGCTAGTGGCTACTGTATTAGACAGCACAGTATAGCACATTTCAATCACTGTAAAAAGTTCTATTAAACAGTTTTGCTCTAAATGATTTCCTTCATCTCTAATCCCCACCAGCTATTACTTGTGTTTCTATTTTGCTCTCATTAGGCATTAAAATTATAACTAATTACTTACAACACAATTGCCTTCCCAGTAAGACTAAGTGTTCATAATATAAAGAGCTCAGTATATGCTTGTTGAATTGACTTGACCTGAGAGTCTATTCCATAGTAAGGTTACCTGGACTGAGAATTGTTGTTAAGTGCCTTCGAGTCGGAGCCGACCCATAGCGACCCTGTACAGGGTTTCCGAGGGTGTAAATCCTTACGGGAGTAGAAAGCCTCATCTTTCTCCGGCGGAGCGGCTGGTAGTTTCGAACCACTGACCTTAAGGTTCGCAGCCCGATTGGTAACCACTATGTTACCAGAGCTCCTTTGGACTGAGAATATGGGTCAGTTAACCTGTGCTATTTGGACAATACAATAAAGGCAGAGAACAGACACAAACTAACATGGGCCAGAAATAGGCCATATAAGACAATCTACAAATGCTAAGAGGAAAGTTGAACACTGTCCTTAGGGAAGTCTAACCATCTTCAAATTTGCCCAGTACTGTAAAATTTCTTTCCTGTTTTATCTTCATCAGTTCAATTTTATCTTTCCAGCTACTACTACTATTTCTCCACAGTTTGATGTCTTTCGCTCAAAAAGCAAGTGTTCCAGTCACAATCCGACAGCTGAAACTCCAATTTTGAAAGCGAGACAGAAAGAAAATCACTCAAAAATTGCTGCCTATTCACTTTATCTCCATCCAGTACCAGAAGTTAGAAAGACTTCATGTGACATGGTTCCCTATGGCAAGGTAAAAATGGCTTTGAGGGTCCAGTTATAACTTTACACTTAGCAAGCAAACTCAGTTTTTTCAGCTCAATGAAACAGCATCTAGCACCAAATTTGCCCGTTAACAACATTCTCATTTCAATACACATATACATATGGAGGCAATTAACCCTTTAAGTAGTAAATCCTAAAGTTCAAATTGTATGATGGCTACTATGCAAAAGCTTAGGTTATCAAGAAATGGGGTAAAATGTGGATAATAATATAAGAGGACAAATCTATCTCCACTGAGCTTCTGGAGTGAGATGACAAAGGTTCCACCCAGACACACCTTTTTATATGTTGTCTCTCCTGTGGAATCAACACCCCGGTGGCCTATTTTCTTAATGGGCATGCCAGAAGCACCAGGCACCTTAAAAAAAAAAAGAGCCAAGATTAATAACAGTTCTCACATAATACAACAAACAACTACACTAATGGTACAGCATCAAATCAAAACACTCAACCCACACATTCTAGGTTGTTGTTGTTGTGTGTGGTCCTGAACCTTATTCACAATCATTCCTATGTTTGAACCTACTGTTGCAGTCAGGTCAATCCATCTCATTGGCAGTCTTCATCTTTTTAACAGACTCTCTACTCTATGTATGATGTCTTTCTCCATGAACTGGTCCCTCCTGATACCAGGTCCAAAGTATTTACAGGACAAAGTCTCGCCATCTTTGCTTCCAAAGAGCATTCTGACTATAATTCTTCCAAGACAAATTTGTTCATTCTTCTGACGGTCCAAGGTAAATTCATATTATTTTCCAGCACCACAGTTCAAAGACATCAATTCTTCAATAGTCCTTATTCATTGTCCATCTTTTGCATGCATATGAAGCAATTGAAAATACCATGGTTTGGATTAAGCACATTTTTATAAGAGTTATATTGCTGCTTCCCAATGAATTAACTGGCTAAAATAACAGAGAAAACTCTAAGGAACAGATCTCACTCTTGGTTCTCATGAAACTGCTGTAGAAAATAAAAAGGAGTATCACTGAAGTAGAAACTGGAGAGATTGAAAAATAGCACTCCTAGGAAACAGGATTTCAGTTTATAAAAGCAAGGTAGGTTAAATGCAGAGTTCTACAGACTCCTTTTTTCACTAGCTTAAGAAATTAATGTCCCTCTTATCCCTCAAACGCTCAACATAATCCAAATATTAACTGCTCAAACTGAATCTACTAACAGATATGATATCTGGCCACTGCCAAATGTAATTATATATCCCAAGAATTACAATGCAGAAAAAATAAGATGGCTCCTCTGAGATAAGCGTCATAGTGCCTCAATGAGATTCCATGAAGATGACATGACTTTGTCATCCACCCACACATATCCTGGAATTAGGAACAAGACTAGTAGAGCAAAGCCTGGAAGGCTATTTCCAAAAGCTAAGATGACAAAGCAACAGACATGACGACACTCTTGATGATTTCAATACTCATTAAGTTAGTAAACTAGAAAGCAAAGAGGTTACAGGAAAGAGGATGTCACAATCTTATGACCTAATATTCAACTTCTACTTTTCTTGGCAAGGTCCTTAGTACCAGAAAACCCCGACAGATCCAGGAAGATGTTTGGGAGGAAAAAAACCTAAATCCCAGGCCAAAACGATCAGCATTCTGAGGTGCCTTTCACAAAACTCAGGAGAGAGGCAAGAAATGAGACGAGGGTTAAGTAATACTCCTTAAGAGTGGAACCCTACCCAGAAGGAGCAGTGATGCCTGAGATGGAGACAGAGACAATGACATGGAGAGATGGAGCTGTTGGGGACTTTAGACACAGAGAGGGAGAGGGGGGCTGTGTGCTGATGACCGGGGGGGCAGGCTTGTAGTGTATACCCTTTGGTTGGTTGATGATGCATGGAGGGGACTGTAACCATAGCAATGAAATGATATACAATAGGATGAATGTAAAACTAATGCTCTCCCATGTAAACTATCACATAATTCAAATAAAACATTAAAAAAAGAAAAGAAAAGAAATACTCCATAGGAAGAAAGTTAAGACCTGCAGAAAACAAAAACAGGAAATTTCAGTTTCTGTGTAGTTAAACAGAGTACTTCTTCATATTCAGTGAAGGTATGGGACTAGGAGGCAGCAACAGCAAAGCAGTTGAAAGAGCTGGTTTAACTGTCAGACTGACTGCCTCAAGTTTGAATCCCAGTCTCACCATTTATTAATTAAGGGACTTCTGGCAAGTTATGTTACCTCTAAGTCTTACTTTCTTATCTATAGAACAATAGTACCTACACCTCACAGGGGTTGCTTTCAGGACTAAATAAGAATATCTATAAAGGGAAAGGTGTCCTGGTGGCACAACAATTAAGCACCTGGCTGTTAACCAAAGGTCATCAGCTAAAACCCATCAGCTGCTCAGTGGTAGAAACATATGGCAATTTGTTTCCATAAAGATTATAGCTTTGGTATGGACAACTGACTATGAGTCAAAATCAACTACACAGCACACAATAACAACAGTGTAAAGAGAACTTACCACAGTCTTTGGTATATTCAAAAAATGCTCAATAAATGTAAGCTATTAATAATGTTCATAATTGTGGTTTATTATTGAATTTCTCTTGTCATAGTCTATAATTCCTACCAAACAACATTTCTGTCCTTCAGGGTCTGGGAAAGAGAAGGTGGGAGAAGACACTAGATAATAGGAAGGCATGATTCAGCTGGATGTTAGCAGAGTTAACAGTAATTGTAAAAACTTGAAACTCTAGCATGTACTTAAAATGAGCAATTTCAGAAGCAGGAGGGGGATCTTACTATCATCAAAGAAGAAATGCAAGGAGTGGAGCTTGTCCTTTGGACCCTGAGACCCTTGTGCATTGAATCTCCTCACCACAGGGAAAGAAAGAATAGGAACAGCAGCAGTACAACCAAGAACCAGAGCAGTGGACTTCCCGGTCCACAAAGCAGAGTGACTCTTGCAGGTAGAGTGGGGTGCCTCCAGGCACTTACTTAATTGCAGGAAAGTTTGCTAACCCAAAGAGCTAGAGCCAAGTGCCTTCAGGCTGAAGCTTATGATGGAGTGGTGCATGCTATGGGCATTTTTCAGCTGGACCAACCTGTGCCCTAAGCATTTCTGACCCCGAATTATTACATGTTATTTTCACTAATGGAGTCCTGGTGTGGCGCCATGTGTAAATGCACCAGACTGCAAAGCCATTTGAACTTCAAGGTCAGCAGTTCAAGCTCACCAGCTGCTCCTCAGAAACCCTATACAGGGTCGCTGTGGGTCGGAACTGACTTGACATCACTTAACAACAACAATTTCCTATGAGTATGTTGTCTGGGTTCTGTGTAGCAATTGCAATGAATTACTGAACCCAGTGGAGTTACATGGGAGAAATGGTTAGTGTCTCATATTTTTGCAATAAAGGCTGTTGTTGTTTAAGTGCCATAGAGTCAGTTCTGACTCATAGCAACCCTATATAGGGTTTTCCAAGCAGCAGTTGGTGAATTTGAACTGTCGACCTTGCAGTTCAAACCGACCTTGCAGTCCAATGCATGAACTCACAGCGAGTGCCACACCAGAGTTGTATAATTTCAGGTCTGTGGGTGGCATAATCAATTTGCAATTGGCTGCTAACCTAAAGGCTGGCAATTTGAATGCACCCAGAAGACAGACCTCGCAATCTGCTTCCATAATGATTACAATCATGAAAACCCTATGAAGCAGTTATCTTCTAACACATGGGCTGTCAGGAGTCTGAAACAACTTGATGGTAACAGGTTTGATTTTGTTGGCTTGTGTAATTTCTATCCTAGATATAAAAACTTCCAAAACCTCAGCAGAGGGGAAGTAAGAATATCATAAACAGGTATCCTATCTCAGAATCAATACGAAACTCACCTCAGATGCCATGGGTCTCTTGGTTCCAGATGCTGTTAAAAAAAATAATAATAATAATATAATTACAAGTATATATACACTACTTATACAATCTGTCACACACACTAAAAGAATCAGAGTTTGAACCAAACCAAACATGACAAGATGCTGCCTCTTTGCTCAGTGATACCAGATTCTTTTGGACGGGAATGTTAAATACTGACTCCTCCTCCTCTGCTGCCACATTCATAGAGTCATTATGCAAATTCCATTTTTGTGTAGCCTCTTTTCTTACTCATGTATTAATATTTTCTCTGGGAAATATAACTCTGTTCTTGGTATATTTAATCAGTAAAGCCCTGGGTCACATGTGACATCATGGCTGAAAGAGAAAGGGCTTAAGACTTACTCTAGACTCATTGGGAAGTATGGGGCTTGATTTATATTTTTTTGCTTTTAGAGCTAAAAGTAAGAACTTTTTATGCCTATGTATCGAATCATAAATAATAATTGTGACATTTAACCACAGACTTAACCTTTCATGCCTACACGGAATAAATACTTAGTAAGTAAATTTTAAACCATCAAATTCCTATTGAGCTGACAGCAAAAATCAGTCCTGGAAGGCTAACCACTAGGCTGGTGGCTCAAACCCACCAGTGGCTCCCTTGAAATCCTATACAGGATCGCTATGAATAGGACTGACTTGACAGCATTTTAACAACAACATTATTAGATTTATTTTAGGAAAGACTGCAAAAAAAAGGATATTTAGAAAGTGCCTAAAGATCATATCCACAGAAAATCTGCTCTGAAAGGTTAAACCAACTCTGAAGGATTTGCCATCTCTATAATGTTCAAAGCATGGTAAGAGACAGGACTTCCTTCCCCTCATGCTGAAGAAAGTTGGTCTTTATCTAGAAAGACTGAGATATCACTTCAACTTAGATCTAAAGGCTTCAAATGGAAAAAAGATTAGCTATATTAAAAAAAATCTAAAAGGAACCCAACTGGAATGGGTACTCAATAATATAAATTAATCTAATGAACAGAAATACCTAAGTTTCTATCCATATATGGTGATTATTGGTAAAGCAGAAACAGACACAAAGGTCAATCAGATAAAGCTCTCTAATTATGACTGCTTAAGTCAAATAATTAAAGGCCACTTAATTTCAGAATACAACTGGGCTTAGAAGAGACTAGATAGCCCTTAGTATTAATGGCCATAGACTTATGGTGTTAAAAAGCAGAGCAGCAAATGTCTTCCTCAAAATGAGGCAGAGTGCCAAAACAAGGTAACAGATGGTTTTTATCCCTCCTCCAACATTGCACCACCACCCCCAAAAAATGAGCAAGAGAAATGTCATCTAGCTGTTTGAAAGATAAGCTGCATAGAATTGACTCAGCAAATTGGAAAAACTGACCAGTTTTCAATACTACCTCTCTCCAGCAGAACCCAATAATCTATGCCTTTTCTAAAATGAAGGAGCCCTGGTAGTGCAGTGGGACAAGCATGGGCTGTTAACTGCAAGGTTAGCTCAAACCCACCAGCCACTCCACAGGAGAAAGGCTCTCTACTCCCGTAAAGATTTATAGTCTCAGAAAACCCTGAGCAGTTCTGCATCTGATAGGGTCGCTATAAGTCAGAGTAGACTCAATGGCAGGGGGTGTGGTTTTTTTTTTAGGATGATTCATCTTCAATCTGCTTGACTTCAGCTAGATGAAAAACTAGGTAAATTTAGGAATGACACCATAAGCCAAGCTTCCAAGGAACAATAAGCCAGGTCAACACAGATTTTATGATCAAAATTGCTACTTACTTTATAATATCTAAGGTGTCAACAAAACATTGTTGAATTTATTTTACAAGCTTTTCAGCTGAGTCAACACCCTATGTTACATCAGGCAACTTACTCTACATAACTAAAAAGAAGAAGAATTTCTATCAGAAAGCTTATGTGAAGATTAAATAAGAAAAACCTAAATATTTTAGGTACTTAGAAAGTGCTATATAAATTTGTTGCTACATGTGTGCTGTCCAATGGGTTTCTCTCATATATGGCCTTTCTGGCCTTGGGTTTATAATTCTGCCAAAATTGTTGCCTAGGCCACAATTTTACAACTGTGGTCAGTATATTATGCACACGTTAAGTGCTGCTGATTTGGTTCCAACTCAAAGCAATCCTGTATAGGGTTTCCAAGCAAGAGCTGGTGAGTTTAAACCACCAACATTAGCAGTCCAGTTCCAGTGCTTATCCTATAGCGCCACAACACACACCCAAAAGGACTAAGTGACCTTGAGAGAATTGGTCAACTACTATACAAATTGAGTGATTGTGGTTTATGAGGGTATTGCACAATTCCTGGTCTGGCTGGGAGGACCATACCTTGAAATTGAAATATAAAGGGCAAACCTAATCTCACAGAGGCTAAGGAGGACCTCATTGTTAATAAGGAGAATCTGGAGGAGAGTATGTCCTGTGCTGATAAGCTCTTAGACCCAGGAGCGACAGAGAGAGAAAGCTGTAACACTGAAGAAAATGTGAGCAGAGGAGAAATGGCAATAAACACAGCCAACCCAGCAGTGGAGAAATGGCTGCAACAGTATGAGCAGTGAGAATCACAGGACCAGCAGATGACTGTAGTGGGCTTTCTGACCCAAAGTGAGAGAAAGAGCTGAGTACCTTCAGACAAGAGGCTTGTTAGTTGAGTGGGGTACCTTTAGGCACTTGTCACTGTTGCTAAAATATTGTAACACTTGTCTAATCAGTGCAGAAGCCTTGAAGTCTGCAGGCTGACACAACTATAGAAAGCTCGGCCAGTTGGTGTCACCAAGAAAAGAGCTATTGGCTGGTGTGGTAAATAGAAGGGCCATCAGCTGGTGTGGTCAAGAGAAGGGTTGTTGGCTGGCATGCTGATAGAAGGGTCTATAGGCAAAGTCAAAAGGAGTTGAGAACCATCTTGGTTGGAAGTTGTCCTGATTGATAAACAATATGGTGTCTTCTGAGTTACAGCCTAGTAAGCCACAGAATCACCGAGTAGTGTGTGGCCATAGCAATTACTATATTCAGCAGAGAAGCAGCATGTGCCATGGGGAAAATGGCTGGTATCAGAAATGGTAAAAACACTGGAGTGGATATATATTTGCCCTCAACCTCATAAGACTCAGCTTTGTACTGATCCTATTTCTCACTCTTCTTGAAGTCAGACAAATTTAGATACTACTAGATTAGAATGGGATTTCTAATGCAAAAGCAATGTTAGACCCATTGTTGGTTAAGTACCATGGAGTTTATTTCGTCTCATAAATACCCTGCACAGGGTATCTGAGGCTGTAAATCTTTATGGGAGCAGAAAGCCTCATCTTTCTCCCGCAGAACGGCTGGTAGTTTCGAACCTCGGACCTTGAGGTTAGCAGCCAATTCATAACCACTACGGTACCAGAGCTCCTTGTTAGACCCATAGCAAGGCCTAATGATCAATTACTTACATCTACATCAAATTCCAATTAGCATCCCAAAGTACTAGACTCTTCCCAAAACCTTCAGTATTCCCCACTTTCTCTCTCTCTCTCACACAGCTAAACTATAGAGTATGATTCTCAATGAGGAAGCCAGGAGGCAGGCTTGCAGTGTGCTTTGAGTTGAATTGAAGATAAACATCAGTTCTAGATTCCTTGGTCAGCACCTGGCCTATCTCTTTCTCTTTTACTTCAGAGAAAAGGGTTCAGAGGGGATCTGAGAGAAACAAGAGGCAATATTAAGTTCCATTTTGTTACCTTTCAGCTAGTGTATGGTCACCATTAATGTTACCAAAAGAAACTATTGTAATGAATACGTAGTTGGTTTTGTAAAATTCTATCATGATTTTTGGCATCATTTCTATCACCAAGGTATTATTTTCTAACAACTAATCTTCTTTATTTCTAAATTTCACAGTCCCATCATCAGTAATTAGCAATGCATCTTGATTAGGTTACATCAATTTCAAACTGCAAAAATCAAAACCCACTGTCATTGAGTCAACTGCAACTCACAGTGATCATTTCTTCATCTTTGGCATTACTGGTTGGCACATAAATTTGAATAACAGTTATTTTAACTAGTCTAGCTTGTGCTATTGTTAAGTACCAGAGTCAGCTCTGACTCAGTGACCCCATGCACAACAGAATGAACACTGCCCAGTCTTGCACCATCCTCCTCAGAATTGAGTTTGAGCCCACTGCTACTGTCACTGTGAAAACCTATCTTATTGATCTTCCTCTTTTTTGCTGACCCGCCAACTTTACCAAACACAATGTTCTTCTCCATGAACTGGTCCCTCCTGAAAACATGTATAAAGTATGAGAGACGAAGTCTCACCATAAAAGCTTCTAAGGAGCATTCTTGATGTACTAATTCCAACACAGATTGGTTTGTTCTTCTGGCAGTCCATGGTAATTTCAATATTCTTCTCCAACACTGTAACTGCAGCAATTCTTCAAAGTTCTTTTTTATTCATAGTTCAACTTTCACACTGCTTACATGGCTATTGAAAATACCATGGCTTGGATCAAGCACACCTTAGTACCCAAACTGACATCTTTTGTTCTTCAACACTTTAAAGAGGTCTTATTATGCAGCAGATTTGTCTAACGTAATACCATCATTTGATTTCTTGGATGCTTCTTCCATAAGTGTTGATTTCGGATCCAAGCAAAACAAAGTCTTCAACAATTTCAATCTTTTCTCCACTTATATGAATGTTGTTTATTGGTCCAGTTGTGACGATTTTTGTCTTCTTACAATGAAGTACAATCCATGTTGAAGACTGTATGTAGTCTTTGATCTTGATCAATACGTATTTTAAGTCACTCTTTGCTTCCAGCAAGCAAGACTGTATCATCTGCATTTCGCAGGTTGCTGATGAGTCTTACTTCAATCCGGATGCAACATTATTCTTCATATAATCCAGCTTCTCGGTTATTTGCTCAACACATAGATTCAAAATGGTCAACATTAGTCCATTTCGGCTCACTACTAGGATATTGATCTGTATGAATTTAATTTCA